ACTACATATCTGGGGATTATAAATGGGCTACAAAACGGATCCATTCCCTGTAAATGATGATGAGATCCAACGCGTGCCTCGAAGCGCAGCGCTATTGAAGCAAATCCTGGAGGGAACAGGGCGCAGCTGAGTTTAGGGTTTAGGGTTGTTGAACATCTGCTTTGATAGTCCTTGTGTCTGGTTATCGCGTGCTCATGTTGTCGCCTTTCTCCGTGATGCGTACGTGTAGCCAGTGCTATTCTCATTTGGATACTTCTCAAGATGGACGAAGACCTAGCGCACCCAAAAGCACAACTCTCGGAGAACCGCATGTGAAACATCAGCCGGTGAGGGTGTCCCAAACTTGGGCATTTTGCTGGGATCACATCGGCATTATGTGAGGGACTATGAAGGATGCAAGGATTTTGGGCCGGTGGCAAGAATCTCCAAATCATGGAACACAATTTGAAACAAAGCCTGGAAACATTGCACGAGCAGCCTTCAGTGATCAGGGCCAGAATAACGTCATGGCAACTAAGTATGACTATGCAGAGATCTAGATCCTCAGCGCAAAAACTGAAATTCCAGATATTCACATTCAACGACTTCTTATGCCTTCCAGGACTTCTATCAGGCGCTGTGTGTTGCTGTAAGCCGGTGCTGAGCCCCGATCGCTCTGCCAAATCTTTCTTGGCATCCTCGCCGAGCTCTGCGCCCTGCGCTCAGAAGGAGCGGAGTAATTAAGGGTCTTGGGAGGATTTGGGGAGTTGGAGCGGCAGGTGGGGAGCACCAGTGCTACATCCCTTTGAGAAATTTCAGGTGAATCCTTCGTGATCTTCCCTTCGAGTGCGGGTTCGTTTCTTGAAGCTCTATTTGGCTCTGACATGTACGGCGCAAATATGGACTGGACATGCTGCGGTGAAGCAGCAAGCTGGATGTACTGGGACCATCGGGTGCAGTGAGCTCTCTTTCTGGAACCCTGGCCTCTGAACAACTCAACTTTCAACGACAAACCACTAAGTAACAGGACTGGAGCACATACATACCTCCTCCTTCCTGCCGTCCTACTACTACCAGTTACTATCACTACCACGACTCAACACAACAGCAGCAGCAACAACAACAACAAACTGCTACTGCTCTACTACCACCACCACTACCAGTACCACTACCATTACTACCACCACTACCACCGCCGCTGCCGCCACCATTACTAATTGGGATGTCAACAGTGGTTCCAGGTGGACGTGAAACAAACTCTCCAAAGGAGGGTTACCTTTACTCTTCCGTGTTGTACCTGTTCCATTTTCCTGAAAACAATCCTAACCAAGTAGTCACAGAATCATACCCCAAACTCAGAAGAAGGAACTACCTCCCCCAAGCTGTTACGGGACCTCCCAAAAGGGAATCAGGGGCTACTCTGAGTTCCATGTTGCGAATGGCACGTTCTACAGGTATGATTCTGGCGTTTTTTGCAAGAAGCCTTGTTCCAGTAGTCTTGGACTACTACTGTGCGGCCTTTCTCCAATTAAACTTTTCGGGACAGTACTAACCTAACAATAGTAACAATAATAGTAGTAATAATAGTAATAGTAGCAATCATTGTAACAGTACTAATAGTAATAGTAATAATAAGAGTGGTAGTAATGATACTAGTAATGGAGCCCTGGGCGTATGCGTCAGCAGCGCTGCCTAAAGATCTCCTCAAAGCACTGACTAAGTCGACTAAGTCATGGCGGGCCGCGTGTGCAGGGTTTAGGGTTTAGGGTCTAGGGTTTAGGGGGTTCACTTGACCTAGTGTAGCCCTCCAAAAAAAATCCTGTAGAATCGCATAAAAACCTATATCCAAACCTTTCAATCCCTTAGTAATAATAGTAGTAACAATGACATTAACAATACTAGTAATACGGGTAATAATAGCAATAATAGTATCTAACCCCTTTAATTTCTTGCGGGCAAGCAGGCCTTCTCCATTGCAGTGGCTGGTTCCTGCGGGGCGCCATCTGTGCCATTCGCCGCATAGCCTTTGGCGGCAAGAGACCTTGCTTGGAGGGTCATGGAGACTTAGTAAGTAGGGTTATCATGGGGATGAGTGGGGTTATTCTATGGCTTCTAGGGGTTAGCATACTTACTATATTCCCGTAGTCCCTACTGCCCCCCAGTAAACCTAAACCCTAAACCCTAGGAACCTTAAACCCTAAATCCTAGGAACCTTAAACCCTAAACCCTAGGAACCTTAAACCCTAAACCCTAGGAACCTTAAACCCTAAACCCTAGGAACCTTA